AATGTTTTATTTATTTATTCATGAGAGTCAGAGAGAGAGGCAGAGGCAGAGGGAGAAGCAGGCTCCCCGCCTAGCAGGGAGCCCGATGCGGGACTCGATCCCAGGACCCAGGATCATGACCTGAGCCGAAGGCAGGCGCTTAACCATCTGAGCCATCCAGGTGCCCCTGAACTGGTTGTCTTGAAAGATAATATCCATGCAGCTCTCCTATGTCACTTATGTGGTAGAGCCTTAGGAGATTTTAGCCCTGGTTTATCATCTGCCAATGGTGGCTGACACATACAGGCATATACTCTGTCTGGATACATGTCTCGATGATGAGTTGCCATGCTAATACTGAGTCACCAGGTAGGGCAGTGTTGCCCTAATTTGGGTGCCAGTGAGTTTAACAAAACTTCTCACATGGAGACCTGAGGGGCATGTGAAATATTTGGCTTAATTCATGAATACCCATGCACTCTGCAATTGAGAGATTTCTCTTTGATGATCACAACCTTAGTTTGCTTAGTGCAGGACCCTCAAAGGAAATTGGGTTTGTTATTCACCACAAATCATTTATTATGTCACCCTTCTACTCAAAAGAGCAAAGTAAAACAAGCAAACATGGACTATTTAAATGTAACAATTAAATAGGAAAGAGGAGAAGAATGGGTAAACAATGAAAAGGGCTATCAAGAGAAAGGAAGTATCCTGGCCAAAGTATTTCATTTCAGATTCAAGCAATTTAGAATGGCACTTTGTCAGTTTTTTCCCATTCTTCATCCTGTTGGATGCTCTACCTAATCTTACTCGGAGCTTAGCACCTGGCCTGCCATCCCTTTGAGCATGAAGGAAAACCATGGTTCCATGCTGGATTGTATGTTTGGCCAGGTATTCATCTTAAATTCCTCTTAGTGAAAGAAGATACATTCTTTTTTTTTTTTTTTCCATGCCTTTGGATAATTTTAGGGTTGACTTTGATAAGGATTGTGAAGATCCTGAATATAAACCACTCCAGGGTCCCCCGAAGGACCAAGATGATGAGGTGAGGAATTCTCATTTGAGAGTAGCTTTGCTCTACTATGACTAAATAGTTAAGTATTGTCCCATTCCCTGGATTCTGAAGTATACTGATTAATTTATAATACAAAATGGAAAGTAACTATTATTTGATACTATAAAGTATTAATGGAAAAGATTATAACACCAGTTGGGGGAGACCAGGGATGACTTTGTGGAGGAGGTGGGACCAAGCTGGATATTGAAATATATTATTTGCTAAATTCTTGAGTCCCTTTATTTTCAAGCCATTAATAGCAACTGATTTTTTTTCTTAGTCCTTTAGTTGGTTGCTTCCATTTTTTTTGTGAGGGTTCATTAGAAATTTTTCTTGATCCCTTTGGTGCCATAGAAGGACACACATAAGAAATTGATTTCAGAATGCCAACTTCCCCCCCTTTTCCCTCCCCCCTCCATCCTATGGGGTGGATCTCCTTCTCTAGGGTGATCCCTTGATGATGATGGATGAGGAGATCTCAGTGATTGATGGAGATGAAGGTAAACTTCTAGGTCAACTAGTATAATTTTGTGTGGGGTGGTGGGTTGGGGAATTACTAACTGAATTCTGTCCTGTCCTGGGATTTCTAAGAGCTTTGCTTTTGGGTGGGTTGAAATACTGGTGTTATCTTTACTACCTTTCCTGTACTTCCTATTCATTCTGCTTTGCTTCCCATAGCCCAGGTAACCCAGCAGCCAGGCCATCTCTTCTGGCCTCCAGGCTCTGCTCTAACAGCTAGGCTTCGGCGCCTAGTAACAGCTTATCAGCGCAGCTACAAGAGAGAACAGATGAAGATAGAGGCTGCAGAACGAGGGGACCGGAGACGGCGGCGTTGTGAGGCAGCCTTCAAGCTAAAAGAAATTGCGCGGCGGGAGAAACAGCAACGGTAAAGTGTGGCTGGGAATTTGGGCTGAGGTGTAAGCTTGCCTTCAGCTATGGGCTATGGGTCCTATATTGAAAAGCATCTTAGGAAGGATTTATTTGGAATTCCCTACAGAGGGACCATTTTTTTTGCCTTTGGTTGTTACTCCTCTGCGACAAAAAACCTCACTTGTGTGCATTATCACAGCTTCTAGGAAAGTGGCCATTCTCATTGAGTTATTTGCCCACATATTTTTTCCCTTAGCTAGCTGGCTATTCTTAAATTCTTACATGTTATAGAGTACCTCTTAACTACCTCTTCTGCTATCTTCTGGGCTATTTTTTGTTTTGTTTTGTTTTTTTGTCCCTATTTTCAATTTTTTGTTTATTCAGGTATTCTAAGCCACACTAAGAAGTAACCAGTTTCCCTGTGTTTTTCTGATCACTGCTGCCTGATTCCTTTTCCCTTTAGATGGACAAGGCGTGAACAAACTGATTTCTATCGAGTGGTGTCTACCTTTGGTGTGGAGTATGACCCTGATACCATGCAGTTCCATTGGGATCGCTTCCGTACTTTTGCCCGACTGGACAAAAAAACAGACGAAAGCCTTACCAAGTACTTCCATGGCTTTGTGGCCATGTGTCGCCAAGTGTGCCGCCTTCCCCCAGCAGCTGGAGATGGTAAGCAAGGCTGGAGAGTCTTGGGTGAGTGGGGATGGATGGCAACAGAAACTAATGTGGTTCGTTTCTCCTCCCACCCCTATGTCTTGCAGAGCCCCCGGACCCTAATCTGTTCATTGAGCCCATCACTGAGGAGAGGGCCTCACGGACTCTCTACCGTATTGAATTGCTTCGGCGCTTACGGGAACAAGTTTTATGCCATCCCCTTCTGGAAGATCGGCTGGCATTATGTCAGCCTCCAGGTCCTGAATTGCCCAAATGGTGGGAGCCTGTTCGGCATGATGGGGAGCTTCTACGAGGGGCAGCCCGCCATGGGGTGAGCCAAACAGACTGCAACATCATGCAGGACCCAGACTTCTCTTTTCTGGCTGCCCGTATGAATTATATGCAGAACCATCAGGCAGGAGCACCAGCTCCATCCTTGTCACGCTGCTCTACGCCACTGCTACACCAGCAGTATACCTCGCGCACTGCCTCACCACTGCCCCTGCGCCCAGATGCTCCTGTTGAAAAGCCACCTGAGGAGACAGCTGCCCAGGTCCCCAGTCTGGAGAGTCTGACTTTAAAACTAGAGCATGAGGTGGTGGCCAGGAGCCGACCAACCCCACAAGACTATGAGATGCGAGTAGCCCCCTCTGATACTACCCCTCTGGTTTCCCGGAATGTTCCACCAGTCAAACTGGAGGATGAGGATGATTCAGACTCCGAACTGGACTTGAGCAAGCTGTCACCATCATCCTCTTCTTCCTCATCCTCATCCAGCTCCAGCTCCAGCACTGATGAGAGTGAGGACGAGAAGGAAGAAAAGCTAAGTGAGTGCATGTGACAGGCTGTTGGCCCTTTTCCCTATTCCCAGCTCCGCGCCGCGCCCCCCCCCCCCCAGCTCTTTCCCTTCTTTTCTAAATGCATCCTCTGGGAGAGATTTGGATTTCGATTTGATAGAACACCGAAAGAGATCTGTTATTCTTTGGGCCTTTATTTAAAGCCCATGTAATTCCATTTATATATAACTTTATTCTTCCATCTTTGCTCACATTCTGTATGATCTCTAGCTGCTGACCGGTCCCGCTCAAAGCTCTATGATGAAGAGAGTCTTCTGTCCCTCACTATGTCCCAAGATGGATTCCCAAATGAAGATGGAGAACAAATGACCCCTGAGCTTCTGCTGCTACAAGAAAGACAAAGAGCTTCTGAGTGGCCCAAGGTAACAGCCTCATGCCTGGACATACGGTCTAGAAATATACTTTAACAAAAACCGGGAACAAGGAACAGATGGTTCTGGTTTTCTTTAATTGTATTTAGTGCTATACATTTTTTCATGAAACTCTTCCCAGTTGACTTAGGGATCTGATACTAGTATCTCCCTCCTTCTGCCTTATGATTTTTACACATCCTGCTAATGATGGCCCTGTTGTTTGTCACAGAATCACATAGCTGGTACTCAGGCCCTAAAACCAGTATTGATTTCTTTTCCCCCCCACTCAGGATCGTGTCCTTATAAACCGTATTGACCTCGTCTGCCAGGCTGTACTCTCAGGGAAGTGGCCTTCTAGCCGCCGGAGCCAGGAAGTGGTAACAGGAATTTTGGGGCCAGGCAACCACTTGCTAGACAGTCCCTCATTGACTCCAGGAGAATATGGTGACTCTCCAGTCCCCACACCACGAAGTAGCAGCGCAGCTTCCATGGCAGAGGAGGAAGTGTCCGCGGTCACCACAGCAGCAGCTCAGTTCACGAAACTTCGCAGAGGCATGGATGAAAAGGAGTTTACAGTTCAGATCAAAGATGTAAGCTCAGCATTTAGGCACTGGGAAGTGGGGAAGGAGACCGGAGTTTTGCTAACTACTTCACTAAGGGGATATTAAACTTGTTTGGTTAGCTAACTTTAAAAAATGAGAAGGGAGTTGGGGGGCCTGGCTGGCTCAGTTGGTAGAGCATGCAGCTCTTGATCTCGGGGTTTGTAAGTTGGAGCCCCACGTTGGGTGTAGAGATGACTTGAAATCTTAAAAATAAATAAGTAAAAATAAAAAGGAGAGGGGAGAAAAATTAAAGTTCACAAAGCTCCATTGAGGAAAAGTCATTGCAGTAAAGGAAGGGATCTTGTATCTCCTAAGGACCAGATTAAAAGAACCCATATGTTTTGAAAGAAATATAGTTGATACAAGGCTTCTTTTGGGTGGCTTGTTTGTAGATCCTAGAAACCTGGTTTTTAAAGATTGAAATCAAATTGTGGGAAAGCTAATAAAATAACACCTAAGTATTGTGGGCCTTATTAAGTTAAAAATAAGAAGGTCATTCTTAGTGAAATTAAATCAGTGTTATTTATTTTATAGATGGGAAATTTTATTTTTCCTGATCATCTTCCCTATTGAAATCCTATTAGCTGGTCCTTAAGTACTCAACAAGAAAATTTTCTTTTTCTTTCTTTTTCCTTTTTTTTTAAAGTAGCCTCCACACCAGCATGGAGCCCAACACGGGACTTGATCTCACAACCCTGAGATCAAGACCTGATCTGAGATCAAGAGTCAGATACTTAACTGACTGAGCCACCCAGGAACCCCAAGAAAAATTTCTTAAACTAGTATGTGATAGGAATTAACAGGATTTTGCCCCTGTGATGAGTTGCCATGCTAATATTGAGACACCAGGTATAGGGTGTTTTTGAGATAAATTCTTCTCTTATGTCTACCTGAGGGGCACTAGGTCAAGAAACGAAATCTTTCTATGGAAAAAGTATATAAGTTTAGATACATTTCTAATTTCTACTGTTTAGTCAGATGGCCTGCCTTCTCATCATTGAGCCAGAGGATGACCCTTACCCTAAGATCCCCAAAGCTTAATATTTACTTTAAAAACATGTGCCATATGACGTCTTGGGTGGATGGGTTGTCTTCTTAGGAGGAAGGATTGAAGTTAACATTCCAGAAGCACAAGTTGATGGCTAATGGAGTAATGGGAGATGGACATCCTCTGTTTCATAAGAAGAAGGGAAACAGAAAGAAGCTAGTCGAGGTGAGTGGGAGAGTTTTTGACATGATGATTAGGTTTTTTTATTCTCACTAATTGATGAAGGCAGTTGGGATTAAGGGACTAGAAGATACTAGAATTATTTTATGGTTACCATTGGCTCTGCTCCCCCTCCCTCCCTGCCCCAAAGAAGAGTATGTGCTCATGGGGGTGGATTCTGGGTTTGCAGCTGGAGGTGGAGTGCATGGAAGAGCCTAATCACCTTGATGTGGACCTGGAGACCCGGATCCCTGTCATCAATAAGGTGGATGGTACTTTGCTGGTGGGTGAGGATGCCCCTCGCCGGGCTGAACTGGAGATGTGGTTACAGGGTCATCCAGAGTTCGCTGTCGATCCCCGATTTCTAGCGGTGAGTGGCAGTTCCATCCAGCAAGATTTAAAGTCGTTTCCTTGGTATTTAAGCTGCGTGAGAGGGAGGAAGCATGCCATAGTATGTCATTTTTTTCTGTATCTGCCGTATACCGTAATACCCAGTCTTCCTAACTCACAGAGTTGTTTGAGAATCAAAATAATGTTAAAGCACTTATTAAACTAAATACTAGGCAAATATTTATTATTGATTATATAAATACCTAATTTTGGGGGGGAGAGATCTGCTAATGGCAGGTTTCCACTAGGACTAATCCTTAATTTATCCATGCAATAAGAATTTGTTGTCAAACTAGACATTAGTACCTTAATAATTACTCCAAAGAGATTTTTATTCCTCTAGGATAACTAATAGTTTTCTATTTCAGTATATGGAGGATCGCAGAAAACAGAAGTGGCAGAGATGTAAAAAAAATAATAAGGCAGAATTGAACTGTTTGGGAATGGAACCAGTACAGACGGCTAACTCTAGAAATGGTAAAAAGGTGAGTGAGACTGAGGCATTACCACTCTGTTCCCACATTAGATGTGACTGGAGAAATAATTCGTGTTCTGTTACTTCCTTTTTTCCAGTGTATGAAAAAATATATCTTCAGTCCACCAATCAGGAAACTAGGGTAATTTTATTGATATTTTTACAGTCCTTGGCATCATCATCTGTAGAGGAGCATAAAATTCTAAAAGTAACTTGAGCACTTTAAGCATATTAAAACATAAGGATTAGTAAGATGTGTTGGAACAGTCAAGGCTTTCTGTTCTTCTGACTGACTAAGGGATTTTGGCAAATCCTTTAACCTTTTCAGTTTGAACATCCTGAAAAGTTGAGGGTATAGGAGCAGATAATCTCTTAAAAATTTTATGATCCTGTACATTTTAGAAGTGACGTCGGGCCTACCAAGGACAATAGTCATAGCGTTTTCCAACATGGAAGTTGAGAATTGCTGATAATAACACCAGTAATGGAAAAAGGACAGGAAAACATGTTTTATAGTTAATAATAACAACTTCGGTTATTCCATTATAGGCCATTTGGTAGATGAGGTACCCATAATTCTTTGCAATAAAATCTGACTTTAAAAGTTTCTCTTTGCTATGTTTGCCTTACTTTGGTCAATAGTTGTCTTTTTTTAAACATATTAAATCATGGTTTGGTAAGCAGTCATTTAAAATGATTAGCACTTGTCTAATCATCCCCCATTGGATCTTTTATATACATCTTTACACATATATGTTATTTATATCTAAAACCACATGGTGTGTCTTTTAACAAAATTAATTTCCAAATGAACAATATGCATCTTCTGCATTTAACAAATTGAGATTGTTACTTTACATGTTATAGTTATTTGTGAGGTGCATTTTTGAGGCTTATTATTTTTACATTGGTGAAAGTGGTTTCATATAAATATTGTTACCATAGAAGAATATTTTAACTTTTCCTCAAAGCCTCCATGGGACCAAGAGTATAATAAGCAGAGTGGTTGATATGGGAGGCTGATGGTTGGAAGACTGGTACCTTCTCTGTTGTGAATTTCACATTATAGAGCAGCTTATAAAAAAGGCTTTTCCTCCAGTATTACCTATTTTTCCCTCAAGTATTTTGCTACGTCTTTATACTCAGTTGATAAATCTAAGAAAGGAAAGATCCTAGGGAGTCACAGAAAATCGTAATATGACTAATACAGAATTCTTTTTTTTTTTTTTTTTTTTTTTAGAATTTATTTGAGAGAGAGGGAGCGTGTGAGCTGGGGAAGGAACAGAGGGGGAAAGCATCTCAAGCAGACTCCATGCTAAGCTCAGAGCCCATTGCAGGGCTCAATCACCTGACCTGAGCCAAAACCGAGAGTTGGATACTTAACTAACTGCACCACCGCCCCAGTACAGAATTCTTAATGCAGACAGAATTAATGGTGTATTATTACTGGTACCTGCAGGAGTTTAGGTGCTTTTATTGTTATATTTTAAAAGTCTATACAAATACAGTGTATTGAGATGTTTAGTTTTCCAAATCAGAAACGTATATTCCCATATCAGGTGTTAGGCTTAGATTGGTAAGTAGAGTCCAGAGACACAGATACCAAATGTCTGAATTTAATGCCAGTATACCCAGTATTATACTTATGTCTAGCAAAGCAGAGGCACTAGAAGTAATAAGTTCCAGCTTCAGTGTACTTAGTCAAAATTTACAGTCAGAATATCCAGGGGTGCCTGGGTGGCTCAGTTGGTTAAGTGTATGACTCTTGATTTCAGCTCAGGTCATGATCTCAGGGTCATGAGATTGAGCCCTGTGTTGGGCTCACACTGGGTGTGGAGCCTGCTTGAGATTCTCTTTCTCTCCCTCTGCCCCTCCTTGCCCACTTGGATTCTCTCTCTCTCTAAAAAATAAAAATAAAATAATTTACGGACAGAACATCTAGAAGAAGCAACTTAAAATTCAGCAGATACGTTTTTTATCAATGTGAAAAACACTTTATTAAGTTTCGTGAGGAGCTACCCACAATCTTTTTGTTGTTCTAGACATCCAGAAAGAAGTCTTAACCTGACCTGTCTTTAGTTTACCACACTCTGCTGTGCTAATGAGTAATAGTTTCGTGAATGTCAATATAGTTGTGCTGTACTTCACATGGTAAGATCATGTGAACAACCTGCCATCAGTAAAGTATACTGTGCAAATACTGATTCATTCACTGGCTTACTCAGTCTCCTTGTTAACAAGGGTAAGCATCTGTGAAATGGCTGGATAGAGTAAAGGTACAATGCAGTCATGGAAGAAAGCAAAACTCTGGTTCACATAAGTGTCAGTATCAATGTCTCCATTTTAGCTTTAGCACTGGAATGCTTCTAGCAGCTATATCCAGCATTTCCTCCTCCTATTACCATCAAGCCTCATCTGACTATGCTTGCTTTGTCCCTCCTAAAGATATTCAGTAAAAAAGCACTTGCAAGCTAGGATTCTGTTGACTTCTAGTTTGCTTTTTTCCTTTCTTTGTTTTTACTATCTTCTACTCCTTCCTCCTAGGGTCACCATGCTGAAACTGTGTTCAACCGGGTTTTGCCAGGGCCTATCACGCCAGACAGCAGCAAGAAGCGGGCCCGTAGGATGCGACCAGACCTTTCAAAGATGATGGCCCTGATGCAGGGTGGAGGCACTGGGTCCCTGTCTCTGCATAATACCTTCCAACACAGCAGTAGTGGCCTGCAGTCTGTGTCATCTCTGGGTCACAGCAGTGCCACTTCTGCATCTTTGCCTTTTATGCCGTTTGTGATGGGTGGTGCAGCATCATCCCCTCATGTAGACTCCAGCACCATGCTTCATCACCACCACCACCACCCCCACCCCCACCATCACCACCATCACCATCCAGGCCTGAGAGCCCCTGGCTACCCTTCTTCACCAGCCACTACCACCTCTGGTACTGCCTTGAGGTTGCCACCACTGCAGCCTGAGGAGGATGAGGACGATGAGGATGAAGATGATGATGATGATTTATCTCAGGGCTATGATAGCTCAGAAAGGGACTTCTCACTCATTGATGATCCTATGATGCCAGCCAACTCAGACTCAAGCGAAGATGCCGATGACTGAAGCCCCAGCATGGTCCCCGTTGCTTGGGTGGCTGCTGTATTTTCAATTACTCTGGCCCTTGGACTATGGAAAAGTGGGAGGGGCAGGGGAGATGTGGGGAAACCCAGGACTCCAGGAGGTGAAAAGGAAGAAGAAAACTTGTACCTGATTGCTTCCAAATTTGAGAGGATTGGGTGGGCAGGGGGAACTCCTAAAATAATACATGACCACTTCCTCATTTCTGGGGAAGGAAAGGAGACTAGAGCAGCTGATGTGCTCACCCCTCCCTAAACCCCTCCATTAACCACAGACTATGTAGCGCTGGCCCTAGCCTCTGGCAGAGCCTGTTCCTGGCCGAACTGTGGATACAGCTGGAGGGTCAGGAACTGTTACCTTCCTTCCCCTTGGCATTAATAAATTTAAGTTAATCCTTTTCCATTCTTCCCTTGTTCTATATTTGCTAAAACCCAATATAAATGTTAATTTTGAATTCATGATGGGTAATTTCAATACCACTTTCCTAAAGTTCATTATTGTAAATGCAGTTACCTTGAATAGGACAAAGTCATCTCTACTCCATTAAAGGATATATGTAAGTGTAGTCAATCCAGCTTGCTAAAAGCAAGTGAATTGTTTAATAGTAGGCAAATGTCCCAGATTCAAACTCCCAAGTTCTTGGAAGAAATGAGAAGGAAGAATTTCCTCAAGGAACCATGTACATTTTGTTTGGAATTAACTGAAATAACGGTGCTTTGGGGAAGCCATAAGAACGGTATCACTTCATGAACTGTGGCAAGGGAACAGGCTGACTGGAAGGAACGTTGTCAAGACTTGGGCCGGGGAGGAGGGCGGAGTGGGGGGCGGGGAGAAGGAGCAGGCCGACTGGGTTGTGTGAAGCCCCTCAAGCCATTTGTTTGTTAAGACTCTTCCCCTGCCATCCCAGCGCTCAGATGAAGCTTGGGCATTTTATTTCCCTTTCTAAGGCAAAGAGTTTTGTGGGCTTTTTCTCCCTGGTTAGGGCTCTCTCTTTCCTCGCCGCCAAGGATCCTTCCAGTCCTGGAGCAGCAGAGGCTTTTGCTTCCCCACCATTTAGGAGGGAAATGCACCCAAAGTTCCCACTCCTGACCCACGTCAGATCCCGCTCTTTCCGTTTCCCCTTCATTTATCAGTGGGTGGGGCCGTTGCAGCGGCGCGCAGCAGCTCGTGTGGGGCGGGGCAGGCACGGCAGGCCTCCCGCCTCCTCAGCAGTGCCCAGCCGCCGCCGCCTGGGCCAGAAATCGGAGCTCCTGGAAACCGCAGCAGGGCTGAGAGTAAGGGCGGGGCGGAGCGTCACGTGATGACGTCGCCTCGCGTGCGGCTGTTGCTAAGTTGACAAGAAAACCCCGCGAAAATCTAGACTCTTTGTGTTGCACATTTTGTTGATTTTCCCACTGTCTTCCTCTCCTCCAACCTCCGGAGAGAGATTTAAAAAAAAAAAAAAAAAAAATCCCAAGCGCTGTCGGGACCCGGAAGCGGAAAGGGCATCTTTGAGGTTGATACTTCCGGGTCACTGGGAGAGTGCGGGATTCCGGGGCCGAGAGCGGGTGGCGGATCCGGGACCTCGCGTGATTCTCGGAACCCGAGCAGGAGCGGCGTCTGTGGCTATGGCTGTGACTTTGGACAAAGACGCTTATTACCGGCGAGTGAAGAGACTGTACAGCAATTGGCGGGTGAGATAGATCCCGTAATTTTCCCTAGGGAGCCCCCCTCTGCCATCCCATAATAACCCCGTTTCTCGGCGCCCTTTTTTCCTTTTCCGTCGGGAATTCCCGGGTTCAGTGTCGCGCCCCTTTAGTTGTTGCAGGACCATTCACCGCAGGCCGCCCCCAGCGCCGCCCCGGAACAGGGAATCCCCCGCAATCACCCTGCCCTGCGGCCACCACCATCTTCCCCGCGTGCTGGCCCCCGTCATGCATAACAGCCTCCTCTCACGGTCTCTTCCCGCCCTAGAAGAGGCATCATCCTTCCCTCCCACTCCGTGATCCCGTCTTGCTGCCCCCCTCCTGCAGTGTTCATACACACCCACGCACTTGCTCTGTCCTTCCAGAACCAGAGTATTCCGCCCCAGGTCCCGCCAGAATTACAACCTTCTTCGTAAAAGGTGGATGGAGGGGCTGGTAGGATGTGAATCGGGCTTTTCGTGTTTATCGTTTGCGGGGCTTTTGCTGGAGTTAAAAAAAAAAAAATACTAATCACGCGCAGCCGTCTCATGTTCTAGGCCCTGCCGTGGGTAACACAGAAACCTAATGCTGAAAACCTGCAAGCTTTAGTAATGCAAAAACGATGTGATGCCTAAAACCTCATTAGTTCTCCTCTTTGGTAGAGTATCCGGGGCACGTGTTGAGAAAAAGCTGTTGCAGTCCCAAGTATTTTAAAGATTGGGTAATTTTGCCGCTTGGATAATATCCACGGTTAAAATTTATTTTTATGATAGTAATTTATCAATTCGTATATTTGATTGCATCCTGTGGTGCAGGCTGAGCTGTCTAGCTTAAGTCTGGCCTCTGAACTCTGTCATCCAAGGAAACTAAAACTAATAAAGACTTTTTAAAACCTGAAAAACGTCCTGACAAAAATGATCAGTTCTGATTTCAGCATTGTAAATTGCCTTTCAAAGAGACCCTCTACTAAAAACTAAGCTATTAAAATTGGTGAGTTCCCCGCCATTCATATTAAAGGTTCATGTGTGTGTTTCACCTTTTGAAGATAAATGCATTAGATAGTTGTAAATAAAATGGATTCTTTGTTGCGTTTTATGAAAAGGAAAAATAAGGACTTTATACAAGACAAATACTGAACATAAGTTTTAATTTAAAAATTTTGTATTGGTTAATTTCTAATGAATGTTTCACAGTTTCTTTCACAGTTACATTTTTAAATTTTAACATAATCCATGTTAGAAAAACTCTTTCTAAAAGCCACATTGTTTTCTAGAGGTCAGTAAGTATAAATGTGCAGTAATCGGAAGCCCTCTCTTCCACCTCTAGACCCTGAAATTCCACATCTTTGATGTAGAGGTTGTTTCTAGTCACGGTGATTCAGAGTTTATCAAGTTGTTCATCTTCTCTAGACCATTCACAAAAGCTAAGATTAATTTAGAGCTCAGAGTTCCCTTACATGATAGATAAATGCAAAACATGAGACTAGGAAAAACTTAAGGCCCAAAGACAGATTAACAAACTTAATATTAAATGATAATCTTTAAATCCAGGGAAGTTAAATTATTGGCCCTAATTTTTTGTTTCTCAAAAATCAGTAAAATTTATCTTGGCCCTCCTACTTACATCATTTGAAGAGGTACGTTAGATGTTAATGGTGTTTGAGTTATGAGCGAGATCCATATAAAATGTACTCACTAGCAAAATTTGTGGCTAATTATTATGAAATCTTACTTGAATAAACTTTCTGCTTTCTTGTAACTGCAAATTTTAATAACTGCCCAGAACCCACCTGTAGAATTCCTTTCTGCATGGACAGCCTTTCCAGGTTACAGCATTCTGATCTGCTTAGACATAGATCATGGTTGTCTGGGGTATGCGGTAAATTCTGTTTGCTTATTTTCTTAGCTGTAGCAGAAAGATAATGAAATATATAGGTGCATAATACAGTTATTTTTACATTTTTCCTTTTTTAATAAGAAAACTAGCATTGAGATAAGGGAATAAGTTGAAGTTAACTATATAAATCCCAAGCTTTGTATTGTCAGCACCCATCTTCAAAGAACTATCCATTATGACAAAAGTTCACAAACTAGAAAATTAGTTGGGCGCCATATCTACTTTTTAGTTTTAGATACCTTCAAGCATAAGGTTTTCAGAACTGTGTTGTGTGTGGTAGCTCCAACTCTTCAGCCGCATAGAGTAGAAGAAACCCAAAAAACTAACCTTGTTTTGTTTTTTAAATAAGAACAGGAGTTAATGTGGCTCCTAATCTCACTTACCTGCAGATTGAGTTTGGGATAGATACATATTGTGAGGCTATTACAAGTAAGATATTTCTTTTTTCTTTTGATTTTTTTTTTTTAAGATTTTATTTGAGAGAGCACATATGGGCATGAGTGAGGGGAGAGGGAGAGAGGGAATCTCAGACTCCATGCCCAGCGCAGAGCCCATCTCCTGGCTCATTATCACAGCCCTGAGATCATGACCTGAGCCAGAGTCAAGTCGGACGCTTAACTGACTGAGCCACCCAGGCGTCCCAGTAAGATATTGTTTCTGATTTACAATTTTTGTACTTATGTCCTAAAAATAGTTGTAGCATCACATACTTCTGTTTGAATAGAAATTTCTAAAACATCAATGAGAAATAGTGTCATTTGAGAAATGAGAAAAAAGGCTCAGTCAAAAATCAGGAGATCTCTGTAGTGACTAGAAGTTATTACTGTTTTATGGACTGTACTTGGATGTTTGAGTCTGGTCCGGTCCTGCCTCTTATTTTTTAAATTAGAACTGCTGTGAGCAGAAAGGATGTGTAGCGCCTGTCTATTTCTGTGTTAGAAAACTCCAGGTGGTAGTGGTGGGTCATGAGAGTGGGCTGTGGGCTTCTCCTCTGGCCTCTTAACTGGGTCCTTATTCAGGGCTCCCACCTTTTCAGCACTGTGATCATTTTTAACCAGGTATTATGATTAGTACCACATGGGGTATGAGGTGAAGGAGGTTAGTCACCATTCTACAGTTCCAGGTTTGTTTGGTTTTTTTTTTTTTTTTTTGACAGCATACACATTGGGGGGGAGGGGCAGAGGGAGAGGGAAAAGCAGACTCCCCGCTGAGGGGCTCCATCCCAGGATCATGATCTGAGCGAAGGCAGATGCTTAACTGACTGAGCTACCCAGGTGCCCCAAGTTCCAGCTTTTTGAGAACCAAGGGAAACAATATCCAGGCATACCTATAACCCATTTGAGACCTACCTCTCAGGGCATCCTGCTATGAGTAAACCTTGACTTCAGTCATTTGCCTTTTATCCCAAAAGAATTCTGTAAAATGTCAGAATTTGTTGTCAAAAGGAATGCTGATCCAGTGCATTCATTCATGTGTCTGTATGCCACCGGTCAGGATTGAAATGGTGGGTGGCTCTGACCCTAAAGACTTAGTGCCTGTGGAGAAGACGATATGCTGTAGTGTCAGTGTCTCTCAGTTGCCGCTTTCTGACTCTCCTGATTTTTGTCATGGACAAGCTTCGTGTTCTGGATTGCTCTCCAAAGCTAGGCAGTTACTGTCTATGGCTTAGGAAGGTTCTTTAAAACACAGGCAATACCCATACTACTTTGAGCAAAGATAATGGTTTACTTCTGCCCATCTCCATTCTTCATGGCTCTTTTATCTTGAGGTAGAGAAAGGTTTAAGTAATGCATTGGACTCTTCAAGAAGAGGAGAGCTAGATGGAAGTAAATGCCTGGAC